ACTACCGTATATTGTTGCATTTGAGTGTCCATAGGAAGAAATTTCAACACCCTTCCGATTTTTTTATATGTGGACAAAGCATGCAAACTATTACAAGATATTGAGACGAGTTTGGGACCAACCAAGAACTCCTGTACTTATTCTACAAGGCATAAAAATGAAGTTGTATTCTATAAAGTAGGACTTCAAAGACCTAAACAGAGCTTAATTCTCTAACATTTCAGGCAAAGCTAACGAAGCTGAGATTTTACTAAAAAAATCAGCTTGCTACTTTGAATGATCACTCTTCTTTCTTGTTTGAGGGAGTCCAAAAGGTAGTGTTGGACTTCTAGAAGTAGCAGTAAGCAGAGGAACAAATTTATAGGCAGAAGTCGAGAGTTCAGTGGTTGTCTTTGGGTGATTCAAACACATCCTTCTTTCATAGAAAATTAAAGATAAGAAAGGCGAGAAAACAAATCAAAAAGCTATTTTTTTTATTATGGGCCAACTATTGCAAATCTTGGCCAAAATTAGTGTGGAAGTTTAGGCCCAGTTTAGTATTGTTGCCTGCTTTTGTTTTCTGTTGTGTTTTTCAAAATTGGAGAAACCAAGAAAAAAAAACATGTTTAGTTAAGTTTCTATTTTTTGTTGTGAATCAGATTTGCACAACAGGGCCCAAATTTGAGAAACAACAATTTATTGCTTTGGATTTGATTCTTGTACATGTTTTCACGGGATTCTCGTTTGTTTTCATTAAAACAACCCTCAATTCGAATCCCACCTAAAGCAAAAAATTTCTCTTTTTTTTTTTTAACTCCCAAACCCACCTCCCAACCATACCCTCATTTTCTCCCAAACCCGCCGCCCAACAGCTCCCTCCCTCTCTCAACTTCTTCCTCTCGAGACCCAGGCCGCCGATATCGTCCATCTCCCCCTCGCCGCCGATTTCGTCCCTTTGCCCCCGCCGCCTCCCTTTCCTCTGTCACCCGACCTCACAACCCCCGCCTCCTCCTCTCGATTCCCATCGCCTCCCTTTCCCCGTCGCCGACTTCGAATCCTTTCCCCTTGTCGCCTGCCTTTCTCCCTGCCGTCGACTTCGAATCCCCCCACCCCCCGGCCCCCTCCTATCTTTTCTGGTTTTTAATTCTAATAGTAGTACCTGAACGCGTTTTTGTTTCTTGTTGTCTGCTTTCATTATTATTCAGATTATCAACTAAACAGGTTTGTGTTTTCTGTTTTTTTCCAATTGTGGTTGTACATCTGTTTACACAACACCACTGCAACCACAACAGCAACAAATCGATACTAAATGGGGCCTTAGGGATCAAGTTTTATATTTTTCTATGGGAAACACGGATTTTTGTACATAGTTAAAAAAAAGCGGGAGGTGATTAGAGATTTGATTTAAAGTGAACCGACTGATGGTCACTTTATGTAGACAGCTTTCTAGTTTTTTCTTCACGCTTGATCACCTTGATCAGGAGAGCTTAATAAGATTTTGCTAATTACTGGAAGAAAAAAAAATCAAATATTCAACAAATTCATTGTTAAAAAAAGAGACACTCGACTAATATACATATTCTTTTCATATATAATTATGAGGCGCTAAAGTCATAGAGAAATCGGAAGGAGAAGGTCTCAGTGAGGAAAGTTTGTTGTTGAATGTTTAGAAAATGATAACTAAATCTCATTTACACTGCTAGAAGCATGTTGAAGGTTCCAATAAAAAGGAGACCAAATCTAATCCTTTCGACGTTCATATGAGATAAAAAAAAAAGTATAGATTCTTGTTGAGTCGGTAAACTTGGGAGGAGAGTTTGGTAGTTACCTCATACTACTATGACTAGAAAGAAAACATATGTTTGTATTGATTCGGTTTGTGATGTTTGTCATTTTTTTAGTGACATTTTGTACGATTAGTATGTTTTGTACTGTTTGTCGGTTTATTTTGTAATGTTTGTAAGCTTTGTTATTTTTGTGCACCATTTTTATCATTTTTTTTCAACCATGTTTGTAATGTTCTTTATGTCTAAAAAACAACCTGGATGACTTTTGGATGAAACTCCTATATATATGGATGAAGCCTCCAAAGTCAACCCGGGTATTTTTCCAGTTTGTATGTTTTGTCGGTCTAGTTTGTCATTTTTGTCCACCATGTTCGTAATGTTTGTATGTCTAAAAAACAACTGGGTTCACTTTGGGAGGGAGCCCCTCTATATAGGGATGGAGCCTCCAAAGTCAACCCGGTTGTTTTTTCTTTTTGTATGGTTTGTATTGTATGTCGGTGTAGTTTGTATTGTTTGTACAATTCATATGTTTGTAAATCGGTTTGTATGTTTTGTCGTTCTAGTTTGTATTGTTTGTACTGTTTGTAAGTCCGGTTTGTATACTTCGTAATTTTTCATAATACCCAAATTATCCCTCCCACTAATTAAAAATCCCTTCCCACTTTTTAACCATTGAATTGAAGTGTCCAGATCTAATGGCTAGGAGGGGCTTAGTCAAGGGACTAAGGACCCCCTAGTCATGGGATACGCTCTCGTCTAAATATGTTAACACAAATATTTTAGAGCACTATGGATAGGTAGATGGAGAGGAATTTGGTTGGTATGGCGAGGAAGTGAAATTGAGTTTCGCAGCATAGAAGGCGGAAGGAACATATATGGGGGGGGGGGGGGGGGGGGGGGACTTTCGACCGCCAGTCGAGCAACAGAGAGAAGCAATCTGATGGGGTTAGTGAAATTAGATGAGTCGCAAAGGATTCATTGCCGACCTATCTATCATATTTAGAGGAGATTGAGCTTAAAGATGGTTTTAGTTACTTTAATTTTTGTATTTTACTATTCTTTGTGTTTTGACTATAAAAATGACATTTGGTTATAGATTATCGTTTTTATTGACGTGGTGGTTTATATGAAATTCATATCTTCAATGATTATAATTGACATTTTTATGTTTTCGCTTTCATTCTCTCGAAAACTAGACAATAGGCAAAGGCTATTATTCAAGTATCTCTTAGCTTAGCTCCTGCCCAAAGATGCAAAAATGGATAAAGAGCCCCCTCCCCTTTTTTCTCTCCGGCCCACCCCAAAATGAGGTTGCGAATTCGGAGAAAGGGGAAAGAGTATGGATAATTAGCTGCCAATTTGGAGGAGAAAAGCAAAAATGCACCTTGAAGGAGGGGGAATTGAACTCGTGTGCACGCGAAGCGCATAGTTTTCTTATTGGCTGCTTTTATAGGATTTGTTTGTTGTGTAGTTTAAAAGGAGAAAAACATGTAGTGACTAAAAAGTAACGTTGCAACAGACACATTTTAACGGGCATAAAAAGCACATATTTTCACGGATTTTGAGCAAGAGGAACCAATTTGCAAGCAGATGAAGATGAAACCTTGTACATATCTTGGGTATATGTATCGGAAAATAGAGTAGTTGGCATCAATCAAAAGGACATGAGGTTTTGGGATAGGGTAGCATTGGAACCTTGTTTGTACTCTTTTCGCTTTATTACTTTCGTGTTTTTTGTTTACTCTTTCAACTTTGTAATTTTCATATGCTATGTTTAACAAAAACTAGTGTTGTTCAAACATGTTGATTAAAATGAGACAAATGTTATTGGACCATGAATTATACAAACGATAATAAGTTAACGACTCATTTTTGGAAACATTTTTTACTCGGAATTTGTGAAAAAATTATATAAATTTTTTGTATAAAAAATATTAATGAACTATAAAAAAATATAAGTGAAATATTATTATTAGTATTTATTTATTATTATTAAGACGCAAGTAGTGCTTTAGGGTTTACTACCCTACTTGCGAATTCACACTAAGCTTTGTGGACCCTGTCTATTCCCCCTTAAACGGTTCCTTCCCCCTATCTTCCCCGCGATGATTTTTTGGCAATTGGCCAAGTTGGCGAGTCCACCATACCTAGCCATCCTGTTTCTTCCCCCTTCCTTCACACCGACGATTCATTGGCAACTAGCCAAGTTGGATCTTCTCGCGGATTTTATACCATCGCTAATCCTCCCAACTTTTAATTGGAGCTACACTCAACCATAAATCCCCTGCGAATAACTTTGGCCTAGCCGCCGATCTCCCGGATCGTTGATCTAACATTCATTCTTCACTCTGTTTTCCTCCGATTGACACTTGGGGCTGAATAATTTGGGACTCCAATTCGCATGAATAGATTCTTTCCAAGATCCTTGATCCTCGACTGTTGGCTAGGGAAGCAACCTTCGCTTCTTAATTCACCATCTTGCTTCCGCGATTTGCTATCTCATCATCATTACTTGATGAATATTTGTGACTCTTCCTTCCAAGATTGGTCTCAGGTAGGAATTTTCGACATAATTGGTGATTGGAAGTCGATATTGGGTTTGGAGTAAAGATTGGTCAAAATAATGGGGATTAGTAATTTAGTATTAAAGAGGGCAATCTAGGAATATTTACGAGATTAAAAGTTTCAACATGAATTTTGTACAAACTATAGTCAATTCAAACGGTAGGAATTAAGTTCTTCGATATATAATTGAAGTGATATGGCTATAGTGCAATATTAACCAACACAATAATACTATGCGATACAATATTATAAACATTACTTATAATCGTACTTCCTTAGCTTTTGCGTTGACATAATCATATTAGCTTCAATTCGCCAACCATATAATGCTATGCGATACAATATTGTAAACACCACTTATAATCGTACTTTCTTAGCTTTTGCGTTGACATAATCATATTAGCTTCAATTCGCCAACCATATATATATATGAGATTTAATTATTTTGTGCGTCTCTACTGCTCTAATCAACCTTTCACAAACTGGTTTTTGATTTGCGATTACAGTTTTCATAGTCAAAAGGTTTTAGTATTTAACTTCCAGCCAGTAACTCCTAACATTAATACTTGGATTTGAGCATGTTGTATGATGAGTGTATAATGCAACTTCCAACTCAACATATATATTAGTTAAGATCCATATTTACGCCGCCTTTTTAACAATTTTACATTGTTCCAACTTGCTTTTTGTTACTCAATATTCAAATTACTCCTACAGCCGAACTATCAACAATTCCGTCCTTGATGTATTCACTATTTTCCTCCACAAAACCTCCATTCGATGCAGTCTTATGTTTACTTCTTACATCTAGCTGTATGTTTTCGTATAAAAAGATACTGCATTTGCTTGTCCAGTTTGTACACTAATTTATTAGCACTGTGCCCACAGCAATATGTGCTATAATGTGGTTGGCTTTCTAATCTCGTAGTAACTCTTCCGCACCTTATTATAAGTTGTTCAATATTTGGAATATGTAATCCCGGGATAATAGATTAGCACCGTTGCGCCGTTTGGAATGCCCGGGCGGCAGCATGCACAGACTGAGAAGAAAGCTTCCAGCAAGTTAGAAAAATATCTACAAGGGGAGGAAATGCAGCTGCCCACTACAAATTCCAAACTAACAGCCCAGAAACCTCAGGAGGAAGAGAGATATAACAAACAATTGGCAGAAGAGATACTCCTTTATAACAAACAATTGGCACAGGAGCAGCAGGATTGGAGTTGGAGACTCACCACAAGGCTCACCATCTTCTTTCTTCGAGATTCCAAGTTTAAAGGGGTGATCTCTCGAACCCGGCTGGCCCAAATAACAGGAGCCTGTGCAATTAAACAAACAAACAAAAACAAGGTTCAGTGGCTAATGCTAGACAACTTTCAAGCTGAAGATAAAGGCAAGTATTTAACAGCACCTCACTGACTTCTCTAGCAACCCCTGCTGTCACTATTGCCATGATGGATGGTGCTTGTAGCCATCCCATCCGCCATCTGGTTCCTTCCTTTTCAGAATGCCGCCACCTGACACCTGGTGGTACATTCTAGATTGCTGCTCCTCAACGAGTGTTTGATTAGAGTTCAGCGACAGCTGCTGTTGCCTTGAGGCAGCAAGTGATGACGATGGTGTTTCATCTCTCCCTTCTGCAGTATCAAGACCACCCAAAGGCCCTGCATTTAAGTCTAGTCCCTGCCTTCCTCCCCACTTCCTACTGCTGCTTTCACTGGACATACTACTACTTGCATCTGGGATGCTAACAACATAAGCAGGCCTTGGATGATAGGGTGATGGAAGAACCCCACCACCACCAGGAGCCAACACCTGCGAATGCACAGCAGGAAAACAAAGTCTTCCACCTGATGCTGAGTCGACATATGCTGTAGCACCACCCGAAAATGCAGCTGATGGTAGAGGGAAGTTGTTTCCAAAATTGAAAACTGGGTACTGAAATGGAGCAGATGGAAAGGGCACAGCAGGAGAAGATGACAACACTGGTCCTCTTCTGTAGACATCTGGAGGACTAAATGTATTGCTGACAGTGGCAGCAGGTACCATTCTTTGAGGTGCAACTATCGAGAATGGCTGTTGTTCCCCTCCTCTATCAGCCAACATTGGCTGAATTGTTGCTACACCTGGATAGTTCCCTTGAGGAGGAAACCAAGAGGCAAAATTACCCAGTTCTTTATTGTTGACTCGAAGGGCAGGAATTGCTGACTGAGATACAATGCTGTTATTCCTTATTTGCTGGACAAATGAAGATGATGGCTCAACAATCCCTACCTCCTCTGCAAGAGGTCCATCATTCAAGTCGAAGTCTCGCCGGGTGCCTGCATCAGCAGCATTGAGAAGACCTGCTGCTGATGATATTTTGAATGTTGTGTGGAAATGAATGTCCAGCCTACACCCATTGCTAGGCAAGTGATTATTGCCGACAACATCATCATCATCGTCCATTTTATTCAAGTCAAGATCAAGTCCCCCAGAACTTCGAACAGATACTGAAGCCACCACCGGTTCATCACTTGCCACAACATGATGATTACTTGCAAGGTCAGGGACAGAGCTGGTAGCCTGATCAGAAACTCGTGAAGCCAAATCTTCAAGTACCATTTCATCAGCCACATTTAGGTCAAAATCAAAGAGAGGACGGCTGGGTTTAGCAGACGAAGAAGTATCAGGAGAAGGGCCATTGGGTGTTGCCCCAGGTACATAAATATCAACAGTTTTTCTTGGTTCAGCAGGTCGAAAAGCACTAGTTGCAGCCGATCCTCTCCAACCAAGTTCCCCTCTATTCTTCAGTAAATCCTCTGGTGGAACAAAAGGACCTTTAGCAGCAGCAGCCACGGTAATTGAAGCAGGGAGACTACTGGAGTGAGAAGCTTGCAAAGGTAATGGACTAATCAGTGGAATAGAAGCAGAAGAAGTTCTAGCAACTTTTACAATGGATGGCTCAATGTACTTCGCATCATCGCCGTTAAGTCCCTCGTTTAGATCAAATACCATTTTTGCTTCATTTTCTTGGCTGCCAGTAACAGCTAACGAAGCATCTGCTGCAGCTGAACAGCTTTCCTCTGCGTCATCAACTTCAGCACCTTTCTCCCTGGATCCTCTACATCCCGTTCTCCGATCTAATTGTACACCAGATTCATCCTGAGAACCACTTTCCTGGTCATTAGCCCCATGAATTTCAGTTTTCACCTGAACCTCATCCATTTTACAGAGCTGATCAGTTTTTGGCTTTTCAGGGGAAGGATTTCGGCCTGTAATATCATTAACCTCTCCTTTTTTCACTTCCTCGGGACATTTGGTGGTCACCATTTCCTGTGTGCCAACAGAAGGATTTAGCACCTGAATATTAGTTCTCTTACCAGAATCAGAATGCATTACTGCAGGTGGCTTCTGATCTGCCTGTACACCAAAGTTCCACAGCTCATTACTATTTTTTTTGTTCTTCCCCTCAGCATCAACGGCGGAATGTGGAGACAGACTTCGGACTCCACCAGTCTTAACTTCTATGGCAGTAACATTGAGCTTAGTATCCACAGAAAAGGAGCCAAGTGATCTTTCTTTACCATCAGATGTTGCTTCTGTTTCGACTTTACAACTGGCATCTAGCTTCCATGGCTGTTTGCCTCCATCGCCCAATTTCTTTTCTATGCCGTTCACAGCAGGCACACCAACAAAAGGTCCCCTTAAGGCTCCAGTAGCTTTATCTTTCTTTTCCTTGCCCGTCTCTCGAGTTTGTTCGGCCTCCAAAACACAGGAGGTTGGATCTTTCTCAGGCCCATCAGGAGCTTTCTCTTGAGGACGCTCTGTCTTAGTCTCTAATGTATTAGCACCACTGTCTTTCTTGTCAGTTATAACACCCACATTATCGCCTGACTGACGAGTAGCAGTATCAGCTGGACGTGGCTGCAACATAGAATCAGCAAGTGGATAAAACTGTGGAGCCGCATCAGGTTTAGACGTCACCCCTGCAGCAACACTAGCAAGCAGGTTCATTCCAACATCATCAGCTCCTGACGTCGATGCACTAGCATCAGAGTACTTGACACAACTTTCAATCAAAGCATTCATGGAGCTAAATGAACCATCATGTAACTTTCCAGACTTGTTTTCATTGCTAGACGGCAATGATATGGATTTGGAGACTTCTGACAGTTTCTTAGTATCTTCACCTGCTCTACTGTTTTCATCATCCGGAGCGGTTGTAGGAGAACCATCTCCTTCATCTGACCCAGTCAGCACATCTTTGAAATCATTGCTCTGCCATGACTCGGTATGGACATCTGAGCCGACATTAACATGGCAAGCATCGTTCTTATCTTTCAAATTGCAATCAAGCTGGTCCTGCTTTTCAGAAAGAGTAGGAGAACAAGATCTATTATGCACGGCTGAAGGATCTTCGAACGATCCACCACTAGCACTTTGGGCAGGACTGCGCCCTCTGTTAGGAAACTTAACGACAATTCTGTGGTTGTTGGCCTCGGCTGTTGGAAGATCAGTTACCTTATCACTTACCAAACATGTTTGCGAGAATTTTTCTGCACCAGGATTTTTTTGCAATGGAGAACTTCTACATGTCCCAGTTTCCCGCTGAGCCACAGACCCAGCTTGGCTCAGAAAGCCATTGCTCGACTTACGATGCCGTGAAGAACCAGTAGCAACCCTAGTTGGGGTCATAGAACCAGAGCTCCTTGTGTCCTCCTTCCCAGAAAATCCAACATTATTTGTTTGGTCACCAGAAACAGTTTGACTATTATTGTGCGACTGGCTAGAACTGCTGCTTTTCTCATCTCTAGCCATAGTTGGAGAAGCATCAGACCCACCACCACTGCCACCATATCTAGCCTGTCCGTCTTTAACAATACCAACCCCAGGCACGTGAACTGGGGTTAATTTACTGGACCCCGGAGATCCAGATGCTGACCTAGGAATAGCCTCTCCAGGGGCAAGCTTAGCCGGTAACACTTTCAAACAAGAAAGTTGATTAGTAGAGCTCTTCAATGCCACCTCAGAGACCACACCAGTATGTCTGCTCCCACCATGGGAAGCATCCGGAAGACGCGATCTGGTAGCCCAAGTGACACCCTGGTTTGACCCAGATTTTGCATCCATTTCAGCCTCCACACGTTTTTTCCAAGTGTCGACTAAACTCTTTGCCTTCTTCTGAATTTCTGTGTTCTTGTGGGAACGGAGTTGATTGACAGACTTTCCAATGTTACATGTTTGTAAAGCATGGAGATCCACAGGGAGTTTTTCAAGAGCACGAAGTAAGACAGAGAGAAACTCTTCTACTGATTTGTCACCGTCCTTGGGAGTATTACCATCACCAATCTTTCCTTTATGGGCCTCCTGTATCCACTCATCAAATACTGGTAACCCTCTCAGCTGAACAAACCAATTAAGGCAATCAAACTTATCTGTTGCTGCTACTACACCAGCCATAACAGACCGGCCAACCAAATCTATCTTCTTCTCATTTCTATCAGGTAGCATAAGTTGCACCAATTTCTCAACAGCATCAAAATCCACAAGACCACCTTTATCCTTCAATTTACTAATCTCTGATTTCCAGGGGTTCTCCGCTCTTGAGTTAGCAGAATCCCCATCATCCAGTTTTGCAGAACGATCTCGTTTGAGAGGCTCTAGCCCTGGATCTCCACGCTCTCCCCGCTCCCTTTTCCTTCCCTTAACTTGAGAAGGAAAGGATGAACCACTATTCTGCACGCTATCTGAACCAGGTTTTGACTGTGATGTTGCATTTGGACCATTCATTGGCTTTGGCGAATGCCCTCCGGACTGTACTGTTGCATGCATTTCTAAGCGTGTCTTATACAATAGTTGATCTACTTCTTCTTGATGTTCCTGTAAATAAGAGATCACCAACAAGTGGACATCAATAAATGACCAAAGGAACAAATGATTGTATAGAAATACAAGCTGGCACTCACATCAATATAATCTTGATCAGTTAACCACCATAAGCACTTGTTTCGAATGTCGTAAACACGACGGCAAACAAATGAAGAAATCCCCGATGCAAGCTCGGCACCTTTAGGAAGGAAGGAAATTTTACACGGATGGAGTAGCGATGCGGCAGATATTTCATCCTTGTGAAAGGAGTAAAATATTTCGTTTGGCGCAGCGTCCAATAGGATGCTTTTGCCAAGCTTTATTTCAGAAGGTCGATAAAGCCAATTCACACCTAAAGTTGGGTTATTATCTTTATTGGTTTTGACACAACGGATTATTCCAATGAAAGGAGGCGACTCCTCTGATGGTTTGAACAGAGCACAGTCCCCAACACAGATTTTTCGCCCGTCCTGAATGTAAGAAGGGATAACAAAAGGTAAGAAATTATCAGAAATCAGTGATATGAGTAATTTATGAACAGTTGACAAGGAAGCCAATGGAAGAATGTCCAGGAAATCAGAAACAACATATGAGATACAACACTGATCTTGGAAATACACTTGTTACTGGATTGAGTCCTGGAAGAAAACAGCACAAAAGTCAAGCTCCACAAGTTTTCTTTACAACCAGCACTTCAAGTATAAGCAGAGATAGATCATGACTTTCCACGGCTAGTCCCAGCTGAACACCACAATCAATCTCTTTCAATGTCCCAACAACAAAAGTTGCTCACATAAAAAGTCAAACTTTCGTAATACCGTCCCCAGTTTGAGCATACAACTCCTCCGATTAGAACACATGTTCCAAGATGATTCACTGCAGGCCATCATTGTTCACTTGTCCAAAAACCAAGAAGGCAGGCTTCTGGATTCTTGAAGAAATGATTAACAAACAATTAAGACCACATCCCTCAATAGCGTAACACCGCAGGCAAGAGGAACCTAATCCCTATTCCGCAGCCACATATCTCAAAATATGTCCACCTGAAACACCACTTATGACCATTTTTGGGGACCTAAACTCCATCAGAACGTTGCACTAACTTACTGAGTATCACCAAGCAACCAATTCCTAATTAGCGAATCCAGCAGTGACCAATTTTCTTACAGATTAATCACACGAATCTCCAAAGCCTATTTCATGATCCCGTAATCCTCACTTATGACTTAGGGGACAACGCCGTTATAAGTCTTCCAGAATTGTCAACACGAAATGGGGAAAGGAAGAACAGTAAAGAATACTTCATTTTTCTTCTCGAAACCAAGAAAAGAAGGAAGAGTACCTTGTAAAACGAATTAGGAATCGGAGAAGACAAAGAAACATCACCCGCTACAACCGAATTGGCAGGGGCGGGATCTGTCCACATGTGCCGAGCCCTTTTCCTCTCCTCACCTTCCCGTCCATGCATAGCCTTGCATTTTCACCTTCGAGTACCATCAATAACCCGGCCCTTTATGAAAACACCCAGCGCTACCACTCCACTTACCTAAACCCTAATCCAAGGGACGAACCGAGGGCCCAACCATTTCCGCAGTGGCATCGAAACCCTAGCTTTTTATATTTTTCGTCAACACCGCCCGACAGCAAGCTTCAAGTTTCCGGTTCCTGCAATTGATCAATCGAACAAGACCGCGGATCCGGATAACTGACGGCAATTCGAATGGCGCCCCGGCGATGGCAGCAGAAGAAATTGTAGACTTTAGCAAGAGAGAGATCGAAGAAGAGAGATGGAGAGCCGGAGAAATGATAGAAAAGGAGAGAGACGGGAAAAAGGGAAAGGAGAGGAAGCAAATTCGTAATTCGTAGGCGAGAGAAATTATACGGTGCCACCTCGGACAACTTGAGTTGGCGAGCCAAACTAATCGGATGCGACGTGGATAACTAGACCTGGCAAATGGGTCGGGTTGAGTAATTTTGGGTTGGGGACTTCGGTTATAGGTCGGGTCATGTTTGGTTGGCTGATTTTAGGTTAAATATTGACCCAACACATTCGGTTTTGGCTCGGGTTACAGGTCATTTCGAGTTATGAGCGTTCTCAGAAACAATATCAAACATGTTTCATATTTTCTTACAGAACACAAATTTTCACATATGCATGACAATAGTTTACCTAACACATGTCAATTAACATATTCTCAAATCTTCTCATGCTAATGAAATGAAATACAAATTGCGGAAATCGTCAAAAAACAATCACAAGAGTAATACTACTACAAGAAACACATGATATTTGATTATCCTTAAACTCCAAAACATGTCATTCAAATCCTTGTGTTTTTTTTTTAACATCTCACCAATTTATGAGTGATTTTATCATTTTGGAAGTGATATATAAAATGGAACGGGTCTAACGGATCGACCCGCTAACCCACCCAACCCGACCCAAAAAATTACGGGTTATCGGGTTCGGGTCATTCGGATTTCGGGTTACAAAAATATCTAATTTTCGGGCGGTTTCGGGTTGGGTCAACGGGTCGGGTTGTATTTTGCCAGGTCTATGGATAACCTAGTCCGACCGGACACTATTTTTACCAAAATACCTTTATTAAACCGTTAACCATAATTGAAATCAAAAGGTTTGAAAATTATAACGAGAAATATTTCTTTAATAAATTTAATAAATTCTTTGAAATTCAAATAAAAATATCTTGAAACTTGCATAAACTCACCTCTTAAACTGCGCCCGTTCATAACGTTTAGGGTTCTACTGGTATTATAGGTCTACTTGTGGGCAATAAGAGGAAGGGATAAAACATGCACCCTGGCGTAGCATGAAAGCCAACGCAATACCTCATAACAAGATGTCCTTTTAAAGGTCAGCAAGCGTACTTTACTTTACTGATGTACCCCCTACCTAAAAAGGGCAAAGACTTGCTCAAGAAAGTACTCGTCAAAACGACAACCCGACCCTTTGAACTAGCATTTGAGCAGGAGATTGCGGAGAAAATCATAAGAATTCTCAATAAATGTGAATCAAGTCTTAAATCCATCATATATACGAGAATTAAATTTCACATACCGAAAATCCTCTAGAGCCTTGAACCCTTGTCGTGGTCTAGTCAACTTTACTATATGAACTGCCGACAATCCTACAAGTTCTGAGTGCTGGTGTGGGGTCAGTCCTATGTCCTAGATTCATTTTTACGGCTTCGGGGGACTGCTTTATCGACACAGGCAACATAAGGTCGTCGTCGGTGGGGCCTGCCAGCGGCGGGTTCTTCGGCCACGTCTCCAACCCGCCCTACGGCTCCATTTAATTGCATGGCTTGAGCAACCGCTACTCCGTCGGCGGCCTCGTCATCGATTTTGTCGCCCAGCCCCTCTCCCTCCTCCCTCCCTACAGGGGCACCACCGGGAAGCAAAGAGCGGCGTCAACTTCACCATCGGAGGGGCGACAGCGATAAACCACGTTTTCTTCACGAGGAACAACATGACGTTAGACAACACTCTCGAGTCCATCCATACCCAGCTCTGCTGGCTCGACGAGTTCCTGGAGAGGAAAGGTTGTAAAGGAACTGCATTGTCGGTGACGTGCGGGGCGATGGTGGAAGATGTGATGTTCTGGATGGGGGAGATTGGACTGAATGACGAGGGAGGGAGGGTGGGACCACTCCTTCTGGTTAAGTTTTTTAATTTTTTTAAAATTACCATGTCATCAAGTTAACGGTTTAGTCAGCAATTCTGTTTGCCACATCATCAAAAAACTGACGGAGTTTGACGGAGACTAACGACTGGTGACTAACGGTGAAATGATTTGTAAAGTTAGTGGCGAATAAGAAAAAAAAGTAATTCAGGTGGCAAACGTGAAAAATTTATATAATTTGAGTGACCAAACGTGTAATTTAGCCATTCTACTTTCATTTAGTGATCACTAGCTCTAGTTCGTTTGCTGGATTATTTTAAGTTACCGACATGTGGAACTGAAGTGTAAGAAAAATTTAATAAAATTCTCTTTTCGAAAAATTGTCTATTGAAAACTTTAATAAAACATTAATATATTATTGTATTTAATATCAAATATACTACCAAACTTTTGACAAGAGTATATATATCCAGATCAAGCTACTACAACACTTCTTATTTTCTTAATTCATTATGTACATCTAGATCAAGAAGAAAATCACATATTAATAGCTCATTTGAATAATTTGTTACCAATTTTATTTATAAAATTCTCTAAATCAATTTTGTATTCTAAATTTTATTTATAAAATAAAATAATAAAAGTACACATATTCCTCTCCCGCCTCAACCCCTAAGTTTTTACCAAATGGTATCATATTACTCCACCCCCACGATCTTACTGTTCTCATCATATTCCACTTTTGTCTAACTATCGACCCTCAATTCTTCGTTCCTTTGCACAAAAAGAGTATCATCTACAATATTCCAAGATTCTAATACAAAAAATTATTGTACAGGTCCAAACAATTTCTAAATCAGTGTTCACCTCAATAATCTCATTGAATCTATCTCTTCCAATCTAGTTATGAGCTCTTAATCCGACTAAGTTCACATCATATGTAAAGAGCATGAATTCTATAGAGTCTTAGTCGATTGCTGGTGATTGACAGATAATTCTTCTATAATCTGAGGCTTCGTTCTTACTCTCACCAACCATATGTATGCCTCTCTCTCGTGAAACAACCGCTTGTTGTCTATGAATCAAATATATTAATTCGCGAATGTTTTTGAATTCCTCCAAGTTCATATTTTTTTACTCTAAAGTATGAGCACCAACCCATGTCCCTCGAATTGTGTGGCTTAAGAATTACTTAATGTTAGAGAACGTTCGAATAATTTTTATAGAATTGATTTTTTTTTTAAATCCCATAGCTATTCACCTTCAAATAAATAAGTTTATATTGGTTCCTAACAATGTAAAAGACACTCAATAAATTCACTCATTACTCGACTTTGTCTACCTAATAAAATATGAAATTTCAAGCAAATATCACTTATAGACAAAGATTATGAAACCGTATTGGAGGTTATACCAGAAAAGTCTGTGGTAGTGTATTTTGTATTAAAATTGTGGTTTAAGAATAGTTCACCAGCTTCCTTTCAAGAAAACCACCTATTATTTAGGTCTGATATCTGGTATATGCTATCCGCCCGGTCTATGCGATAGGATTTTATAATATTGCTTATAGCTCTAAAATCCTTAACTTCCTCCACCACATCCCTTTTCGGAATCAGGCAAATAAAAGAGTGTCCAACAGATTTAGGAAATTACTCATTGAAAAGAAGTGCTCCATTGCCTTCAAAAAATCATACTTAATAATATTCCAGATCTTTTTGTACAAATTCAATGTGAAACCGTCCGGGCTGGATGCTTTATCACCGTCACATTCCAAGATTGCTTCCCAAATTTCTGCCTCTATGAAAGGGGTTGTTAGAGTGTAGTTGTCCTCTATCTGAACCAAACCAGACTTGTAGTTGAGGGGAAATGGCCGATTAGTGTTGATTTCTCTAAATCTATTCTAGAAGTGATGCACAAAGGCCGATTGCAACTTTTCCTTACTCTCTGACCAGATTCCATTCACCTCAATAGTTCTAACAGGACTTGTGGGGATCTAACTCATAAATTTTTGCCTTTGCTTTTCCTTTTCTCATCTTGTAATTATCTCTTTTTTTTTTCCAAGAAATGTCAAGAGAGAACCTATACAAACTACCAAGACCCTGCCCAACCCAATACATTAGTGAAGCCAACCTACAAAGTCAAAGGTACACAACTCTAAAGGGGAGAGTAACAAGGCTTTCTGCGCCACTCTATGGGCAGCACTGTTAGCAGTCCGAGGAACAGCCCTAAACTCTAAGACACCAGAGACGGAAGACCGGAGAAGGAAGCAATCCCGAAGCACCGAACCTCCAATGGAGTCTGAGAGAACACCTTGACAAAGCTGACGAATCACGACCTCTGAATCTCCTTCAACGATGACCCGAGAAAGAGATTTGGACACCAAGAGGAGAATGGCATCTCTAGCAGCAAGGAGTTCCGCGAGGTAGGGATCAACAACACCGGGGTGAAGGAACCCTACTGCCAGAGCCACATGCCCGTCTGAGCTTCGCACCACTAGACCAGACGAGCACCCAGAATGCCGAACAGCAGCGTCAAAGTTGATCTTCAAAAAACCATCTGGAGGCGGCGACCAAAACGAGCAACGAGAGGAGGAAGGCTGGGGCGGAGGAGCAGGGACCAAAGGTAGGGAGGAAGACAATTCACGGACTTGGAAAAAACACTGACGAGCGAGAGACTGGGCATGAGGTTGGAAATGCTCAAAAACCACCTTATTTCTAGACTTCCAGATCCTCCATAATACACAAACGTATAGGAGAATGTGGGTTTGGGGGTGCTCAGAAAGCATAACATGTCGCCACCAGAGACTAAAATTCACAGTCGGGGCCGAGGAAATGAAATCATTTAGACCCATGAGCGACCACAATCTTGTGGCCAAGGGGCATTTAAAGAACATATGTTCAAGACTTTCCGGGCTTCTCCAGCAAACTGGGCAACGAACCAGACAATTTACTCCCCTAGATTTGAGTGCTACTACCGTTGGTAAAATTACTCTAAGGCACTGCCATATAAAAAATTTTAGCTTCGGGGGGGAAACCATGTCCCAGGTTTTCTTCCAGATGGGAGGATCAATGATTTGGGCCAGTTGTTTTTGGCTAGAAGCTAAGGAGAGCTCAAGAGCTAGGTGGTATCCTGTTTTGACTGTATATGAACCATTCTTTGTGTAATGCCAAACTCTCGTATCACTTTGTTGGCATCTCGGGAGCGGGATTTTACATATAAGGTTTACTGTTAAAGGATCAAAACAGTAATGCAGCCTTGGGACATGCCACTCTCCTCTATTTTCCTTGATGAAAAA